GGATTGTGGTTGTGTAAAGGTAATAGAGAGTACATGATATATGGTCAATCAACTGTCTGGTGAAAAATTGAAAGACTTGTTTTGTACACTGAAAGTCGGCAAAATTTTCATTTATACCAAACTACCATTTAACAACAATAACACTGTAAACTCTATGTCTTCGACGGCGGCCAGAGGATTAGATGAAAGGCGAACACAAGTCTTTCGGAGGTGTGTCATCTGCAAACGGTTTGTAAGTGTGTACCGTGCTGAGCAATATTCTGAATAGGTAGGAACAGACATTTGGGGGGAAAGGCAGAGGGGGGAAACCTTTAGAGGGAGAGTAAAAGACAAATGTTCTGAAGTTTAAACGAAGGTTGTGTGAAATAAGGACTTTCGGGTATCTAGACGTTCGCTCTCGGTCCTCGGAAAAGTGAGTCCGCCATTTATGGCTCCTCGCAATCTGTAGTTGTGTCAGTGGTCGAAGAGGAAACTGAGTAGCGAAAAGAGTGAAGATAAGATAATGAACGTCATAAACTAGACAATAACACAACGAGACAACCTAATCTCCTGGGCCCACGGTAAGTCCAAAGGAAACTATATTGTGTGACACGATACATGTGTACTGTTATTTTCGGACTTAGGAACTTATCAAGTCACTTATCATTTTAAGTTGAAGTTTTCTGAACTTCATTTCGAATTATTATGAGTACCTGTTCAAACTAAAATTCCCTCTATGACTTACGTACCTGAAACCTCATTGAAACTAGAAGGAATAAGTGAAAACTGGCATTTTCATCTTCATGAGTCTAGAGACATGAACTCATTTTCATCTTTCATGAGTCTAGAACAGAACTCATTTCATCTTCAATGAGTCTAGAACATGAACTCATTTTCCATCTTTCATGAGTCTAGAACATGAACTTATTTTCATCTTCATGAGGTCTAGAAACATGAACTCATTTTCATCTTCATGAGTCTAGAACAATGAACTCATTTTCATCTTCAATGAGTCTAGAACAAGCGAACTCATGTTCATCTTCATGAGTCTAGAACATGAATCATTTTCACCTTCATGAGTCTAAACATGAACTCATTTTCATCTTCATGAGTCTATAACAAGACTCATGTTCATCTTCATGAGTCTAGAACATGAATTCAATTTCATCTTCTTGAGTCTAGGAACATGAACTCATTTTCATCTTCATGAGTCTAGAACATGAACTATTTCATCCTTCATGAGTCTAGAACATGAATTCAATTTCATCTTCATGAGTCTAGAACATGACTCATTTTCATCTTCAGAGTCTAGAAACATGAAATCAATTTTTCGTCTTCATGAGTCTAGAACATGAACTCATTTTCATCTTCATGAGTCTATAACAAGAACTCATGTTCATCTTCAATGAGTCATTAGAACATGAATTCAATTCATTCATAGTCTAGAACAATGAAACTCTATTTCATCTTTTTTTATCATTTCATATTCCAGCTATTCCTCAAAAAACATGTTTTGGATATCAAGCCATTCACATTTTAAATGTACATTTTAAGAAATTGCAGTTTTTGTATTTCTACCCCAAGCTTCCATAAGTGGGTCAAAAATGATACAAAATAAAATATTTCTAGTGTGAACCAAAATATGATACTAGATATTAAAAAAGTGATTTTTATTAACCGAAAACACAAAAATGGCATAAAAACACATATTATTCTAATACGGGTCCTTTTTGACCCACTTATGGAGAAGTGTAGGGTGCAGTCACTCTAAGGGCATCTAAGGGTTAACAAAGACGCACAGTGTTTGAGTTTCTTTCCACCACTGGGTAACAAACATCACGTACAGTATAAGCACGGCGTGGTTTCATGATTTATTGGTCAATCACTCCTTTATTCCCAACACTTCATCCATGCTACAGGTCTGACCCGTTCTGAACTCCACTCTGAAATAAATCCCTCCTCGACCGCTCTGATTGTGTGACGGGAACATTTCCCAGAGCTGAAAAAGACCCTGATAGATTTCACGTGAAGATGTTGAGAAGCTCCTCTCAGGATCTGACACCTGCATCCAGATGTGGAAGACGAACGTCCTGCTGAAAACGAGTGAAAGAAGAAGAAGTACACCAGTGTTTTTATATTTAAGTTGTTGTTAAAGTATAGAAATGTCAACTTTAATGGAAAATAAACAACACTATTAAGGGACAAGGCAAAGTGAAAGAAGACCAGATACTTAGTTACCCGTAAAAGTCATGCATTCAAAATCTTCTTGTCATGAGTATTATCAGCTTCACTCAAGTCATTTGAAGTGTGATAGAAACATATGTTTGACATGTAGAAGTGGGAGACGTGCTCAGCTCTTTTACTTAAACTATTACAATGTCAAATATACTTACTCAAGTAAAAGTACAATATTTTTGGCGTCCCAATATACCTAATTAATTACTAAGTACTGTTCATGCAGTGTGGCCCATTTCAGAACAATATATGATATTATTGTATTATCAATGTCTTCATCATTTTGTATTACTTTATATATTGCTTGGTATCTTAATTTATAATAAATCATCACCATTTATCAGTTTATTTGTATTTTGTAGATGCAAAATAGTAACAAACGCTGTAAAAGAAATGCAAAATGTCAAGTGAAGTTCTTACTTACTTCAGTGCAGTACTTGAGGAAGTGTACTCAGTTACGTTCAGCCACTATCTGTGTGTGAGCGTCATGCTAATAGGATTTCTGTCGTCTAACATAAACTCTTGAGCTCTGAGAGGACGGAGGTCTGCAGCTCAAACTGCAGCGTGTCCCTCCGAGGTATTCCAGNATTTGATCTTTATTCCTGCATTTTGATTGCACCATTGTGTCACATGCACTATTTCATTTCTCTATCTTATAGATATATAGTTTGCTGCATTGTTGGAGCGGCCTGACTTCAATTGGTATTGCCAAAACTACATATATGACGATTAAGCCTTTGAATAGTATCTGCTCTAAATACGTAAACGTGACATCATGTACAGTAAGTGTATGTGTGTGTGTGTGTGTGTGTGTGTGTGTGTGTGTGTGTGTGTGTGTGTGTGTGTGTGTGTGTGTGTGTGTGTGTGTGTGTGTGTGTGTGTGTGTGTGTGTGTGTGTATGTGTGTGTGTGTGTGTGTGTGTGTGTGTGTGTGTGTGTGTGTGTGTGTGTGTGTGTGTGTTCAGCATCTATTTTTTCAAGTGTGTTTGGAGCGGAGACCTAAGTGACTTAACAGAAACAAATGAAAATAGCTGGAATACCTCGGAGGGACACGCTGCAGTTTGAGCTGCAGACCTCCGTCCTCTCAGAGCTCAAGAGTTTATATTAGACGACAGAAATCCTATTAGCATGACGCTCACACACAGATACTGGCTGAACGTAACTGAGTACACTTCCTCAAGTACTGCACTGAAGTAAGTAAGAACTTAGTTAGTTAGATGTTACTATTTTGCATCTACAAAATACAAATAAACTGATAAATGGTGATGATTTATTATAAACTAAGATACCAAGGAATATATAAAGTAATACAAAATAATGAAGACATTGATAATACAATAATATCATATATTGCTCTGAAATGGCCCATACTGCATGAACAGTACTTAGTAATTAATTAGGTATATTGGGACGCCAAAAATATTGTACTTTTACTTATATTTGACATTGTAATAGTTTAAACTGTGCTTAAGTAAAAGAGCTGAGCACGTGTTCCACTTCTACATGTCAAACATATGTTTCTATTACACTTCAAATGACTTGAGTGAAGCTGATNTAAAGCACTCTCAGGGGACTACCCAGCTAGCGGGGAACGTTCTCACAACTTAAAACGTTTCTTTAAAACCTTATTAGAACCAATAGGTAACGTTAGCCAAAGTTGTGAGAACGTTCCCCGCTAGCTGGGTAGTCCCCTGAGAGTGCTTTATGATACATTCAGTCACCTTCGGTCTGCTGGAATATAAGTCTTGAATACAACAGACACACAACATGTAGATTGAACATGAACATTGACTGTAAACAGTATAATAGCTTGCCTAAGTATTTGTTTTGTGTGGCTGTGCATCTTTATGGATCACACTAATGAAACCATCACATGGCACAGGTCAAAGTTTAATCTTCCGACATTTAGCTGCGTGTCTTCCACTTATTACAGCTCTCTCTGACGTGCGTTAATGTCAATCTATATCTCTTTCACTTCACAGTCTGTGAGTGATGGAATGATTCAAGGAGCAGAGACAGACAGAGGGAGGCGGATGTATCTATTGAAGCACGTAAAAGATGGATAGTGTGAGATGGACAGAGGAAGCGAGAGAGAGAGATTAACTGTCAGGGGTTCTGAATGGCAAAACAATTTCCACCTGCAAAAACAAGGCCTTTCAATCCCCGCTGCACCGGTTCACACAGGGGGAAGAGTTCCCTCTGTGATGGTATCCGACTTGCTGTTATTGCCTTCACTTACTGATCTCTGAGTCTGTAAATAGACATGCATACACACAAGGATGCATGAACCCCCAGCAATTTTGTGCTTCAAAAGCATTTCTCGGTCATTCATGTCATTCAACAAGCCTTGTGACAACACGAGGTTGCAGGAATGCATGAATAACAACATCTTAAAACATTTGAAAGGCATTAGCAGTGTGACAAGCGTGCTAAAAGAAACAAATCATAATGTCCTCTCAGAAAGATCTGCTGTCCACTACACTTTCTTCCCCTGCATACATGTTCTGTAGAACAAAAAGCAGTAGAGATAGCACGGTGATATATTGCACCTTTTGGAAAGGCTTGAGATAACAGAACATGTGCTAATGGTTTACAAATAAAGGAAAGACAAACATTTGGGCGTACGCTGCCATAAAAGGTGGATGAGTAGCTAAAATAGACAAACAGTGGGTGAAGGGATGTCACAGTGGTGCTGGTAGAGAGGTGATTATGAAATGGGATAAACGGAGCAGGATCTCACTCATCTTCATTTGCTTCAGTGCTGATGTCGATGGACTTTGTTCTTCTGTGGAATGGGTGCAAAGCCGAGTGAATACGTTACCCAACTAGCTTGTTTATAAGTCATCCCTTTAAGCCTCACCGGGGAGGAGAGAGGGAGAAGAGGAGAAGGTAAAGGGGATGACTTGGAAAGAAGAGGAGGAAACGGCAACAGGAGAAAAACCAGAGGAGCAAGAACAAGCAAAACTAAGTAAAGTGAAACTGGGATCTTCCAACATTGCAACAACATATTTTTAAAAACTTTTTCAGCGGTGTGGTGCAGCAGCTGCAGGGATGTGGATGGATACCAAAGCAGAAGAGAAGGAGGCCAGCAGGAGTCGTGCCAGCCTTGGCCAACGTGTGTTGAGCGGTCTACTGTTCTTTACTGGGGATATGGAGCACTTAAATAAGTACATGCAAGGTAGGAAACATCTTGAACACAGGTTTAAAATTGTCTGACCTTTAAGAAAATGTGTTCAGAAAATTGCATAATTCATCAAGTCTGAATCTTCTCACAGGACTCTGATTCATTGTATAACTTTGTAAAAAGAGCAAGTTGCCAAACACTAGGAATGTGTTTAACTGTCATAAATACATGACTGTGAAATGCTGATGTTGACATTAAAATATGCAGATGTTATCATTCCACAACTCCCACGGTGTGCACTGCTGCACTCTTCCTCTACATAAAACATAATCATCATTAAACTCTCATCTTGGTTCTTGTATTAAACCCTGTATTGCCATCAACAAATCCAACAGGGGAACATGGATTTGTTTGTTATTGTACTATGTAGTCTCAGAGGGAAACAAATGTTAATCTTTTTTCTTTCTGTGTCTACAGACAAAGTGTTTGGGCTGCAGCTGGCGGTGTGGGGCCTGAGAGGGGTGTCCAGGGTGATCCTAGCCACCAACCCGCTGAGTGGAGCTCTCATCCTGGCTGCTCTGTGCTGGGCCTCCCCCTGGCAGGCCCTGCTGGGGACTCTGGGAGTACTGACCTCCACGCTAACAGCTGTTATCATGGGCCAAGACGGGTAAATGTAAACACAAGAAAAAAACACAGAAGCTTGTAAAAGTGTACATTATTGTTTGCAAATGTAATGACCTGTGTATCTTAGAGCCACACAACATAAAAATGGCCCTTTTAAAAAACCAAGCCCTCGTTAAAAACCTGTCTGTTGCCCGGTAGCCGACCCTGTAACACAAGTCTATAATTTGCTCGACCTTCCGATAAAAGTTGATTGAGAGTTCTGCTTTAAATTCATGAGAATAACAGCTCCATGACTGAGAGCTCTCTGTTCTCCCGCACCCACTGCCTGCGTGTTCTTATTTAATAAATGTCCTTATATGTACAATAAGCCTCGGACAAAATATAAGATGCCAATATACTACATTATATAAGGTTTTTAAAGTATCTCAGTTAAGCTGGGGCTCCTAGTGTTTTAAAGTTTGACATGTTGAATTTATTCAGTTTCCCCCAGGGGCCTCAGCTCATTACAACTTTTTTTTCTTTTTCTCATGGGGACCATAAAAACGCTAATGTGGGTTTTAATCATGAAAACAATCTGATAACCGTTTATTATAAGTATAATTAATAAATATTGTTAGCAATGCTATAATTCATTATTTCAACCATACATTTTTGCACATGATATTGTACTTTATATACTATCAGGGGCGGCGGGTAATGAATGACTAGATAAGGCTAGAAGGCTAAGCCCTCCCTAAATGATTGGTCCCTTTTCTATTGTGCACTCCTTATCTTTGTCTCACGAGCTGCATCGTGGTTGTCAGTTAGTGCCATAGATATTTCTGAAGTTCTAGCATGTGCTCTGTGCCCGCAGCTAGCAGGATGTATGAGAAGGACGTGTGTATTTACATTTACGTGTATGTATGTTTACACAGAATCGGTTGGTGTCTCTGCATTACCATCGTATCTTTAAATAATGATAAGCAAATAATTGTAAAACATCTTTCAACCTACAGTTAGATGGACCGAATAAGATTAACAATCTTACTATATAAATATTTTTTTTGGATGCTTTTCAAATTATTAATTAAACATCTAGGATAATCATTCCTCAAACTCTTCATAATGTTTAGGGACGGTCAAAAACGAATGAACCATTGACAACTAATATCTCCTGCATCATTATGTAATGTTGAAGATGATTTACAAAGGATTTGGTAATCTTTAACACATTTTCAATATAGTATATAAAATGATTAATTGTATTTAAGTAACAGTTACATATGTATTACCTAATGTGACATTAATTTACAGTTGAGCATGTTTAAACAATCAGTTTTTATAAAGTAACTAACTTACTGTCACTGTGTTACACAAAATAGGAAATACAATAATTGTGATAGGTGATTCCTGTGTGTGTGTGTGTGTGTGTGTGTGTGTGTGTGTGTGTGTGTGTGTGTGTGTGTGTGTGTGTGTGTGTGTGTGTGTGTGTGTGTGTGTGTGTGTGTGTGTGTGTGTGTGTGTGTGTGTGTGTGTGTGTGTGTGTGTGTGTGTGTGTGTAGTGCTGAGGTGTCAGGAGGTCTCCATGGGTTTAACGGCATGCTGGTGTCGATGCTGATGGGGGTGTTCAGCTCGGCTGGAGACTGGTACTGGTGGCTGCTGCTGCCCGCCTGCTTGGGCTCAGCTACATGGTGAGACACACTCTCAACGGAAATTGTATTAAGCAAGTGACCATCACCAGAGGGCAATCTGGGTATAGAGTATGTCACAAGAGAATGAGCATAAAAAAACGATCTCCAGAAGTGTTCACTTAGAGCAGCTCTCTGAAGCGCCTCTTTAAAGTCTTTACACTGAGTGCAGACCAAGATTAAAAAACAAGCGATCAGAACATCTTAGCTCCACATATCACTTCTTGTGAAAGAAAGAAGTGGCATGATTTGTTATTATTTTCTTTCACATATGACAGTAAACTAAATATCTAATGCTGTGAAGGATCAGACAAATAATTTGTAATAACATTTTCTAAAATATAAGGGATATTTTCCTTTTCATTATTTTTGAGACAATATGGGGAAGACAAATGACATTTACATAATTATTAGTGGTACTGTAGGTAGGGTGTTTTTATTTAAATGTAGTCCTCATATTTAATTATATATTAATCTTATTTATGACGATGTTGCTGATTTGTTCTGCCAGAGCAGTTGTGAGACACAGTAAGGAACAGTATGGGAGAAATGGACACCAACAGGGAATCTATGTTGGCAGGCCTCTGTATTTATTGTCAATATGAACACCATACAAGTCGACAAAAATCACCCAAACGAGGTCATTTCATTAAAACTGACCTCCACCCTCTCACCCCCCGTCCCCATGTCCAGTGTGTTTCTGTTCAGCGGTCTCGCCCCGCTGTTGGACCGCTGGGACTTGCCTGTCGCGGTGTTTCCCTTCAACATCGTCATCGTTCTCTACCTCCTTTGTACCGGCCCCTACAACCCCTACTTCCCGCACCACCCGGCTACACCTGCAGGGCCGATGGAGATCAACGCCACTGAGCTCATGGCAGTGGAGGTGAGGCGATCCAATGTTTGATTAAATGATTATTTAAAGGCTGCGTTAACAGAGGTAGTAGAGGTTGCTGTTGAAAAGCAAAGTCTACAATCTAGATTTGTTTTCTTTGTGCTGGGTTAACTTTATCAATGGCAAAAAGAACGAAGGATTAGTTTTGTATTACAATGTCAAGTCTTAAAAACACACGTTTTTTGAGGGGGTTTAACAAAAACACTGAAAAACGGAACCCAGACATCTGACTTGAAATCACCAGTGCTGTTGTTCCGTAATCTCAGTGGGGAACACGGTATACACACATATGTAACCAACTATAGAAATCTGAAAAGCTTGCAACTTCACAGTCAGCCAGATCATTGACCTTCACAACAACAAAAGTATACCATCCCAGCAGACCTGAAGCGTCTGGGGAGCCCCCAAGAAAGCCTGACCGCATTCGATAAATACATGAGAAAAAACTAAAGGAAATGACCATCGTGCAAGTTGTCACTGTGACAAGTGGTAGTTTGCAGAGCTTTGAACAGTGATTTTCACCACGGCCCGCCTCCAGAGCCTCAAAGCTATCCAGCTGTCTTCTGTGGGGGTCCTGTTGATACTGAAGTCACTCTGTGCAGAGGCCCACAGTCAAGCACACCAACATTATAATTTATGTATCCCATGAGATCATTTTTTTCTTATGTTTTGATTTTGAAGTTTCCCCCAAGAAATACAGGTGTATAAAATTGTAAGTTTCTCCCATTTGTATTGTGAAATAAATATTTCTCCTAAATCTTTTTTATATTATAATTTGTGGCTTGCACATCTCTGCCCAACTACTGGGCTGCAGTGTTCAATAATCTGTCACAGGTATCGAGCCTAATGCCATTACTGCTGGCAACCCTCAGCTGCCTTTTCCTATAGGCTCAGAGCAAATCTGATAACCTTTGTAACATTATTGGCAACACTTATAATACTAAACAGATGGAAATCACCATCACCACTTTCCCTCAGTCTTAAGAATTGTTCAATAATTTACAGCTGGAAAGAATCGGTTACACATTGAAAGGCTCCTCGAGGAAGTCAAATATATCTGAGGTTATTATGTGTTAGATGTGGTGTGTTATACAACCAATCCAACGGTGTGTGTCGTTGTAGTTGTAATGTGTTGTGTTTTGTTTTGCTAATGTGACAGTCAACCACAGCCAATTTTTCATTCTTCTCAATTTGTGTTTAAAAACCAACAAAGTTCATAAAAAACTTAGATTAGAAGTTTTAAAGGGAACTGATAGCAGTGACATGTAAATATGGATGATTGTAAAACCACAAAGCTACCTTTCGGTGTGTCTGCTATGTTGCAGTGAACAAGTTAGGAGCACAATATGCAAAGGATCAGCCAGCAATGACTCACCAGTTACCTAGCAACAGTTACTGATGAAGTTCCTGTTTGGAAATTGTAATAAGCCCAAACTGGTTTAATTAGCATTTCATGATGATTAAAAACTCACAGTGGAGGTTAGGCTGTTTCAGGAAGTCATTTTTTCCGGTTTCTGTGGACTTAGATTGTGCAGCAGGGAGAAGAAAACCTACTGGCTAAACCTATGACACTGAAAGTCACTTTGAATAAATACCCTGTAAAGCAAAGAAACAGTTTGCTTAGACCACTGAAGTGCAATGAAATGCAGTCGCCTTGAACTGCTTCTCACGAGACTTTGGCAACAAACCGAGACTCCAAGCAGCTGCTGCTTTAGATCTCTGTGAGCCAGCTGGCATCTCAATGCTCCAGGAGCAACTGAAATGCAATCTTCATGCTTCTGTTTGGAAACAGGCACACCTGATTATGTGATACGAATTGGAAAAGCTCCATATTCTTACAAATGTATCGAGTGTGCATAAGGATTGCATTTGTGTATATATTGTGTATCACTACTTACAGTTCAATAGTATTTTATGTGGACAACAAAACCAAATGCAGGTGCAACACATTTGATACTTTCTCAAACATATATAGAAATGTGTAAAGGATAAGGTTATGGGTGTGATTCCTTCTGTATCTCATACAGGCCCGATCGATAGTGATCGGGGCCACAATATGATTCAAACTCGATTTTCGACTCAGTTCCCTGTGCTTGGTGTGGAAAATGATAGCATGAGAGCGTAAAGTGTTTGTATAAGTGAACTAATTGCAATACTGTAATCACACAAAGGCAAACTAAGGAGAAAATGTATCATTTGTTAATGCTAAACTAGCACAACAAGAGACATTTGACTTTTAACATCTTTGAATTCTTCTCAGTGACTTAGAGAATGACGAGTAACAGTTATATCTAATACTGGTATTTTGTGTGATTTGTCTCCAAATGACACAATAGTGCTTGACACAACCTTAACTTAGATGTAGGATAAGTATCCATTGGACGCAACACCAATCTTTAAAAAATCAGATGGAGGAATTAATCAATCGTTCAGAAAATACTAAATATATAATAGATCCCCTACACAATATTGTAGATGGAAATAATGGATGGAATACCTAACTAGAAATGTAAGGAGGTTTGGTGGTTGTTTGTGTGTTTCTGAATCGAGGCACGGTAATTGCCAGGAGAGCTGAAGGGTGGGATGTGTATCTTTGCACACAAGGATCAGCGAACTGCCTGTGAAGTTGTCTAAACTAGATTAGATATGCTGACAAAATCCCCTCGGTGCTGTTACGGTTCCTGGAGACAAGATTTACACCAAGTTCTATTAACAAGCATCGCGCCCCGTGGCACAGTATGTCCCTGACACTAGATGATTACTTTTCACAGTTTTTCAGGCCAGGAGAGATGTTTTCTCTCTCTGTTTCCTCCTATATAACACAGTCTCTCCCTCGTTTCTTCTTCTTCACTCATTCGTCTGTCCCTCCCCTTTTTTAAATGCTCAATTTTCATTTCAGAAATTCCCTTTGGTTTGCTTCTTGGGAGATCTGAAATCTCAAAATCTTCTTTTTATCTCTCCGCCCCTCTCCTCCCCATCTCCCCAGTCTCTATCCATGTCCCTGCTCTAAATTTCAAATCTCATTCCTCTCTAACTTGCTACATCTTTCATCATCACTTTCAATAGCCTTTGTTTTTTGGAATCCTTCTTTGATCCTCAATTTGTGTAACCACATTTTCAAGGACAGCACATAAAGTCATTTTTTTTGTTACAGTCCTAGACGTGAAACAATCGTCTTTTATTTCCTGTTTTCTTTTCTATTGCTCTCCCTCCATTACTTCCACCCGTCTCTGTTTCCTCCTTCCTTCTTTGCTCCTCTCCTTCTTCCTCTGTCTCTCTGGGGATGTGGATGACGTGGATCCTATTTATATTTAATGTCTCCAGCTCTCTCTGCTGAGGCTCTGGGTGCACTACCACAACAGCGTATTTAATCCTTCCCCACACAAACACACCAACCTACACACACGGGTGTACACACGGAGGGTATGCACAAAGAGTTGTGTCGAAGAGATATAATTAAACTGCATTTATGACTTGTAAATATCAGCGACTGGCAGGTGCACCCATCCTGTCGCCATGGAAACTCTTTACACTTTACTGGTTGTTGGGAATGCAGCGTGTGTGTGTTTACTGTGTGTAGAGAAGAGAGGCTGGTTTTAACTGGAAAAGAGCTGCTCATATTTTATAATTATGTTTTCATAAGTGTGCTCTTGGGATTTAATACTTAATATAAAAAGTGTTTAATAATGATTTTCAATATGCTTCAACTCATCTCAAAATCTCCTTTTGACTTGTGTCCCTGGTGCAGGTACTGCGTGGCATCCCTCTGGGTGTGGGTCAGATCTTTGCCTGTGGGGCTCTGGGGCCCTCGCTCCTCATCCTGGGGGCCGTCCTGCTCTACTCCCCCCTGCTGGCCGCCCACGCTCTGCTGGGATCAGCAGTAGGAACGTTGGCTGGTGAGTCTCCATCTGTGTGTTTGCATGTGTGTGTGTGGGAGTAGTGGGAGCATTAGCAACATGGGAACAGTATATTATTGTTTTATAGGTCATACTGTGCATAATAATGTGTACCAGCCAACTCCTTTGACATTACTGGTTTAATCCTGAATTCCTACAAGAGTTGGTACTTTTATCTTATATCGTTTTTACTTGTCAAGGTCTTGGCCTTTTCAGTGCCATTATCTCTTGTATCACACTCATCCTTCTTGGTTCTTTGCTAACAGGGAAAGCTCCAACATTTCACACATCAATGTCATTGTACTAGTCATAGGGAGTTACTCTGTGAAAACAGTTGTGTAATAATGTCCTTTGTGGCTCTGGAGGAGATTATTTTGAGAAAATAACCACTGATGATATAATCAGTTATGTCAGCTTGGGCACAAAGACAACATTTATCACAAAAAGCCTTAAGTTGTTTGTGTATGCACGCAGGAAGGATGTCACAAAATATTGTGTTATGTCATATAAAGGTAGGAACCAGTGTTACTAGCGCCTGCTCTGTTTAAGTAGGGATGTCGCCGTAATGATGATCACCTTGGTTTTTGATCATGTAATATTGCTATTACAACGTTTTGGGAATAGAAGGGCCTTAGACTGCAGAGTGCAGACAGAACACAACATGGAGAGTAGGGATGCTCCGATCAGGGTTTTTGGGGCCGATCGCCGGAATCAGTATCGGCCAATACCGATCCGATCACAGGGTGGGTGGGGGCTAAGGGGATCTTCCATTTAAAGTGATGTTTAAAGCTCAGTTAATGGGGCTCATTTTTATATTGCTTCAGTTTATAATCGTAACAGATTGAAAGTTCAGATTTTTTTTTCAATAAATAACGCGCTTCCACAAACAGCAACCAACAAACAACATAATTATTACATTCAAATGAAGTACATTATTCAAGTTTACATTCATTTTGGATAATAACACTGGAGAAATGAGCGGAAACACTCTCCCTCTCTCCCTCTCTCCCTCTCTCCCTCTCTCCCTCTCTCCCTCTTTTCCTCTCTCCCTCTCCCTCTCTCCCTCTCTCCCTCTCTCCCTCTCTCTCTCTCTCTCTCTCTCTCTCTCTCTCTCTCTCTCTCTTTCCCTCCCCTGACAGCCTGTCAGTATCTCATGCAGCTCACTGATCCAGTGATGAGTGACCCGACAGTGAAGAATAAACACATTTATAACTAGTTTAGCTAGTTCCAGGGGTAGATAAACTAGCTAAGTGTGTTAGGTCTAACTTGAAGTGTGTGTTTCGCTCCGCTCACCGGTCCGTCACTGCGGACGGAGCTGCAGGATTTCTGCTTCACACACGTTGCATACCGCAATTTTATTGTCTTTTTCGGACACCTTAAAAAACTGCCAGACTGGTGAAGCCATTCGGCGAGCTTTGACAGAGAAAAGTCTTGTGTATTTTGCGTCATCTGATCGGCTCTCCTGATCACCCTTTCTAGAGAGCAGCGATCACACTATCAAGAGTGAATATCGGCCGATAACGATCAGAGCATCCCTAATGGAGAGAGTTGCAAACGGACTCACACAGTGTTGACGTTTCGGTTTGTCGGCACCTCAACCCCTAGACCGCAGGGGCGCCCTCATTGTGTCCTTTAATCTGTCCCTTGTGAGTTCCCCAACTTCAAAAAATCCCACAGATGACTTTGGCTGAGAAGAGTACATCTTTAACAGAGCCAGTTTTATCTCACACAAAGAAAACTAGAGCACCAGGTTGTGGAACATGAAGGCTCAAAACATTAGGGCAACATCATATCATAATGCTGAACAACCCAACAATTCAAATCCAAACTTAGTTTGAAAGTTAAACTTACTTCATGATTTTTCATTGCACCCTCACCACTATGGTATATTTAAATAATATAACAAAACATAAGTAATATAACTATAAATATATATATATACAGACTACCTGTACTTGGTTGCTGACACCTCATTCTGCTAGTGAGGTTGCTTAATAAGCCATACCTTCGCCCAAAGCACAAAGCAATATCTTTAACTCGTGTCTTTGGTAGCAGTGTGTACTTGGCATTTATTAAACAATCAGTCAGGACCTCAAGTAGATTGCAGGCTCAGGTGCCTGCATGGCAAATGTTGAATTACTGTGTGTTTCAACAAGCTTAAATTCAGGTACGGATTTATTAGACCCCTCTGGCACTAAGGCTTTAGGACAGACAGCAGCCTGTGGGTACATTGAAAAAAGAGACAAAGCAAGTAGCCGGGCACTGATAGGCGAACACACCAGTCTGTGGCTGTGTGCTCCTTACATGTACATCACTGTGACTCTATGCAGAGAGAAAGACTTTGAAGACTTCAGCCCCCTGCTTCCGTCTGCTGCTTAGAGTACAACACAGTGTCCTAAAACACTTTGTTGTGTGTGTGTCTATGTGTGTGATTGTAGCTATGAGTCATACTGTAAAAGGCGGAGTGGGGGTGAGCTTGCACATGCACACTGCTGCAATAACAACAACAGTGGAGATGTGATCAGAGAGATGGGACTGTAATGAGAATGTGTCAACAACGTGAACGGGAAACAAGCAACGTAGCAAACATGGTGTTTACTGCTGCCATTTGCATATTCTCTACACTTCTCTTTATTTTCATCATGTTTTTCCATGTTTTCTCCAGTGAGCCATTTTAGCCCAAATTAAGTCTTTTAGAGCCTTTATTGATCTTGAAAAGCTCCACCACAGTTTAATGTTTTTCATTTGGACACTTGTAATTCGGGGTAATTCATGCTGCTGTTTGCTTTTCCTCGAATACCGAAGAACACCCTATGAAATGAAGTCTGGCTCCATTGTTCTGGTTGCCTGTGTTGATTTAGCTCTTTATATGTCTGAAGAATAAGGCTTACAATATTCTATACCAGGTCTGCGACTAACAATTATTTGTATTATCGATTATTTTTACATTAGTGTCTTTATTGATGCTCTGCGCTTTTAGAATAGCATTCCAAGTATCATTGCTTTCGTCAACGTCTCATTCATCTCCACCTTTGGTCCTGTTCTCGTCAGATTAATAATTTCTTTCAACTGTGAGAATAACAGAGGGATACATTATTATAGATAGGCCATGTTTAGAGCTGTCATTCACAGCAGTGTGGTGTAAACTATAACCACAAGGGGTTTCCAGAGGAGGAGAACAGGGGCTGTATGTAGGCCACAGCCTCCACCTCTCCATTTATTGGAGAATAATTCTAGAAATGCTTTATAGTGGGATCAAATACAGGAGAGAAGAGAGAGTGAGGCTGTAGAGTCCGATGTGTGACATAAAGGGAACTTTTCCAGTGAGATGCTCACATCTGCCACTCGGGTTTGATTTATTCTTGTGATGATGATTTTGTTTATGCAAAAAGGATTCTATGTGCACATTGGTGTTTATTTATGACCTGTATTACATGGCAAAGTTGTAATACAACAAACCATATCATCTTAATTATACATAACAGGTCTTAAAGGCACAACAAGTAGGATTTGTCTGTTGTGCTTCATAATATCAATCCTTGGAAAACTTGAAAATTCAAAGATTGATTGCGATTTATGTTTAAATATCTGCAAAGTTAGTGAATTAAGCTGTACTTTTGGTTAAATAACTTGCAAATCCCCCAAATGATCTATCTATTGCCATCATCGGGTCTATATATCACATTTTGTATTTCTAGATGTAGACGGACTGCCTCAGATCTACAAACCTTAACCAATTAATCAAGATGTTGTCATTGTGACCATGTAAGCATGCTGATATTAGCATTTAGCTTAGGCACCACCTTGCTTTAATACAGCCTCATAAATCCTCTTGCATGGCTGTAGACTGTTAGTCATCTCAACATCAACTCAACAGTTAAATAGACATTTTATAGAGTAGGATTTAATATCTGAGAGAAAGAAATATATAAAGAAGGACAAACATAAAGGAGACAAAGAAACTGCCATGTAGAAAAAGGCCAATAAAAACATCTGAGATCTGGCCAGTGCTGAAAAATGAGCCCACATCCAGAGCAATCCATTCAGCTGCCTCCACAAACCGTTTGCCCCCCTCCAAGGCCTCAAAGGACAGAGTGATTGATTCACCAGCTGAAGAAAGACTGAAGTCTAAGATGCAAATGTAGCCATTAAACATGAACACTGGAGAACCACACGGCCTCATATGCATTTCATTTCAGTTGTTCATCCCAACCTTTAGCCCCGTCCTCCAGTCTGCAGCTAGTCTCTGTGGTTGGATGCAGGAAGCATCTGGAAAAGAGGAGAGTGATATTGGGTTTGATATGATAAGAGCTCTCTGGCTCATTCTATTACCATAGACAATTTCACAGTGGGACTCACCCACACACACATACATTAACATACGCACATATTAAAACAACTGTAACAAAATGTATTATCCTCTGAGCCCTCCCTCCCACATAGCCATTAGTCTTTGACGACACCCTTTATGTGAGGAGCAGAGTGAGACGGTGGGATGAAGGAAGCAAGGAAGGAAGAGAGGGAATGATAAATAAAGAGGGGATGGTTATAATGAACAGGAAGATAGACAGGAAGATAATGAAGTGTGGAATGAGGAAAAGACGGGATGAGTGCAGAGGGAACGTTTAAAGGCAAAGAGGATAGCTGAGAGGGGGAAGAGGAAGAGGATGGCACATTAACCCAGAGTGAGGAGGCAGGACGGGTGTGGTCAGTCTGCTTCAGGACCAGAATGCTAATCTGCCGCACACAGTGCCTGGTGTAATAAGGAAACCAATCAGAGCACAGCCACAGGGCCGTTTATCTGCAAAATGGCCTGCTTCTGCAGAAGAAATCTCTGGCAAGCCCCGCAGTATTAATACAGCAGCAATGGCTAACTACATTTATGATAACTTACATTTTTTCATTTAAGTCATTGTATCGTATGATAGGCACCAATGGTAACGCATTATAGTTTAACTGCTATGCATTCAAGCGTTTGAAATGAGTTTGGCAGGGCTTACTCAACCACAATGTTAGAATTAGCATAAGCGCTAATGAGAAATGTAAGTTTTGTAAGTAC